ACAGATAGTTGGACAGTATCAACTAGAAACAATTTAAGACATTAGTTGTTTCCCAGGCAGTTGGACAGTATCAACTAGAAACAATTTAAGACATCAGTTGTTTCCCAGGCAGTTGGACAGTATCAGCTAGAAACAATGTATGATATTAGTTGTTTTCCGCAGACATACCGCTGTGCCACTGGGGGCCCTTACAGTACCGTAAACGTGGTAGTGATCTATAATGTTAACATGGTTAATGTAACATGGTAAATCTGTCATGCGATTATGGTTTAATGTTTCTTATAGTAAGGTAAATGTCGTTCAGATTTTCCATGTTAACATGATTGAATTGTCTTTGCTGATGTTGATCTTTCATGATAACGTTGCTATAGATTTGTAGAGAAATGAGAACAAAAGAAAAACCTATGTTTAACAAACGATTTTATTTTAAGTAATTACTATATAAGAGTGAATTTGAATTAATTATTTTATAATACACCTCTTGTATATATTTTAAGATAAGAAATTTCACAAGTTATTCGTCACTATCGGAAGACAAGTTTTGCAAAAAACTGACTGAACAGTAACTTTAAACATAATACACTAGATGGCGGAGTTTGACAGGCATATCAAACTAAAGAAAAGTGTTATCGTTAATGACGTAGTATACAGGGGTGTTTATACATATCACGTAATCGAAGCAACAGGAAATTTTGTAAATAATGGCTCATTAAGTTTCGTTTTCACGTGGCCCAAAATTACATTCCATACCTTTATCTAAACCTTGAACGCTTCTTTGTTTGATTCAAAAGTTTCATATAATTTGCGTTTTCTTTAGCCTAATACCATGTAGTCAAACTTAGGTCAAAAGTTGACCTTTACTGTTTGAAGTTCAAATGTTTGAGCAATAAAAGAACGGAGCATAAATGACAATCGAGGTAACGTATATGTTTGTCATTACATTTTCAATATAGCTATTTACTAATTAGTAATTATTAATTTAGAATATGAAAGTTACAAATATTATTATTATAAAGGAAATACCCAACATGCATTTCACCTTTGGGCTCTATTCGCTTGCATGGTCATTAATTACAATAACTTTTAAGCCCACAGATTTCATCAGGCTTCTAACTAGTAAACTCGTAAAACTATTTCTATTTGTACTGACAATGAATGCCAAATTCGACTGTAAAAATCAGTGCAATCTGAGCAAAATGGACAGCAACTAGAATATTTTTAAAAGCTTAATCTAAAGGGTGTTAATTAATTATTCATCACTCACAATCAAATGTAACTCGTGAAACTTCGAGTTCCTTAAAGTGAAGAAAAATTTAAAAATATGTATAGATATTCAAGAGATAACTTTTCCAAAAGATAAAAAAATCTGACTTGTTGTAAAATCACTGGTAAAGTTTGCAGTCAAAAAGACCTTCAAGTTATGAATCGTTACCTTGACGTAATCGTCTGAATAATTATAATTGAATGTCTACAATATACAGATAAAACACTAGTTAAAGCTCAATAGAAAATACATGAAAATCGTTCAATCCGAGCAGTACATTCTCTGAGCTGTTTGCGTAGCCAGGCACTTAAACTGTTACTCTTGGACTTACAACGCTAGAAACCGGGTTTCGATACCCGTGGTGGGTAGAGCACAGATAGCCCTTGTGCATAATTAAAAACAAACTGTACTGTAAGAAACGTTCAACCATGTTAACATGATAGATCAATACCACGTTTACTTTACTGTAAGAACGTGTTAACATGAAAGATGGACTTTTATATTGTTGTGGATTTATTTAATAAGGACGGTATATTGTTATGGATTTATGTTTGTGTGTTAATAAGGACGGTATATTGTTATGTATTTATGTTTCTGTGTTAATAAGGACTGTATATTGTTGTGGATTTATGTTTGCGTGTTAATAAGGACTGTATATTGTTATGGATTTATGTTTCTGTGTTATTAAGGACTGTATATTGTTATGGATTTATGTTTATGTATTAATAAGGACTGTATATTGTTATGGATTTATGTTTCTGTGTTAATAAGGACTGTATATTGTTATGGATTTATGTTTCTGTATTAATAAGGACTGTATATTGTTATGGATTTGTGTTAATAAGGACTGTATATTGTTATGGATTTATGTTTCTGTGTTAATAAGGACGGTATATTGTTATAGATTTATGTTTCTGTGTTGATAAGGACTGTATATTGTTATGAATTTATGTTTCTGTGTTAATAAGGACTGTATATTGTTACGGATTTATGTTTATGTGTTAATAAGGACTGTATATTGTTGTGGATTTATGTTTCTGTGTTAATAAGGACTGTATATTGTTGTGGATTTATGTTTCTGTGTTAATAAGGACGGTATATTGTTGTGGATTTATGTTTCTGTGTTAATAAGGACTGTATATTGTTATGGATTTATGTTTCTGTGTTAATAAAGACGGTATATTGTTATGGATTTGTGTTTTTGTGTTTATCAGGACTGTAAATTGTTATGGATTTATGTTTCTGTGTTAACAAGGATTTTATATTGCTAGGGTTTACGTTTCTCTGGCAACAAGGATTACACATTGGTATGGATTTATGTTTCTGTGTTAATAAGGACTTTATATTGTTATGGAGTTATGTTTCTCTCTTAAGGATTATACATTGTTATGGATTTATTTTTCTGCGTTAACAAGGACTTTATATTGTTATGGAGTTATGTTTCTCTGTTAACAAGGATTATACATTGTGGACTTATGTTTCTGTGATAAAATGGACTGTATATTAATATGGGTGTGTGTTGTTTGTGTTGTGGATTTTTACTGATTGCTACTATTCTATGATTACCAAAAGGCTGTCAACTACCGATGGAGTGGTTCGAGGAATCCTATGCTAACGACACGTTTGAAACCTGTGCATGAATAAATTAAGATGTTAATGTAAAATAAACCTCAATAAAAACAGACGAAACATTGTTTAAGTAATAAGTTATACGACCTCTGGTGTTAAAAATGTTAAGGTAAACGTTATAATGAATATTTAAGAAGATGAGATGACAGTGTTTTCTGTGAACCTAAGCCTAAAACAATTGACACATACTCCACGATGTCATGTCCTCTTTGTTATATATATATACCAAAATGGTTTTAGGTTATAGGTCCCTACACTCTTAACAGTATAGTTAAAGTTCGTCCTTATTAACACAGAAACATAAGTCCACAACAATATACAGTCCTTATTATTTAACACACAAACATAAATCCATAACAATATACAGTCCTTATTAACACAGAAACATAAATTCATAACAATATACAGTCCTTATTAACACAGAAACATAAATCTATAACAATATACGTCCTTATTAACACAGAAACATAAATCCATAACAATATACAGTCCTTATTAACACAGAAACACAAATCCATAACAATATACAGTCCTTATTAACACAGAAACATAAATCCCAATATAGTCCTTATTAACACAGAAACATAAATCCACAACAATATACCGCCCTTATTAACACATAAACATAAATCCGTAACCATATACAGTCCTTATTAAGACAGAAACATAAATCCATAACAATATCCCGTCCTTATTAACACACAAACATAAATCCACAACAATATACAGTCCTTATTAATTAACACAGAAACATAAACCCATAACAATATACAGTCCTTCAGTTTGGAGAGCATGCTCGTGGTCGTGAAGGGAACTGTTTACAGTAATGTAGACATCCAGTTTGGAGAGCATGCACGTGGTTGTGTAGGGAACTGTTTACAGTAATGTAGACATCCAGTTTGGAGAGCATGCACGTGGTCGTGTAGGGAACTGTATACAGTTCTGTACACACCCAGTTGAATAATCTTAATTAAACACATAAATCAAGTAATACTGGTAAGTGTAATTCTTCTTGAGTTATGAATCTTTCTGAAAATTGTACTTTTCACCGATAATAATTATCCCGAAATTTTAAAATGTGTGTACTTCTTGAAGAAGAAGAAGAATCAACTATCCAGAAAGGGATTTAATTGTTGGGATATAAAAGATTACTCAATTCCTTGAAATCTGGCTTCTGGACTGTAACATATTAATTTCCCTCTGACTCGATCCCCCCTTTTTTTGTGGTAAATGCTGAAATTTTTATTGACGTTTACACTTGATACAAATGTTTCTATTCTTCCAGCCCAAGCTCCAGGTGGCTAGTAAATACGAGCGAAGAATTGATCGGAGAACCTTCGGTGACAAGAAAGAACTGTTTGACGGTGTAAGTATTATAACGTACTGAACGTTTGGTGGGAAGTGCTGTATGGTATCAGTTCCTAAAGTTACAGTTTATGTATTCGTACTTCAACGGTTTACACCACTATTATCCTTCTAAGACCTATCATTAGAACTTTTACTTGTAGCTTTATATTCTGCAAAACGAAATAATGTAAGGAATAACATTAATTTGAACAGGAGTTTTGGGAAAAATTTAATTACTAAAAATATCTTACAACTCTGCTCCAAAAGTTTCAGTTAAGAAAAAAATTAGAGGCTGAGTTTGAGAAAGGTTATTATATTAAGTTTTCTTTTGTTGTGTTATATGCATGCAAACTATGAATAAAAGCCATTCACGTATGATTAACACTTTGTCCGACAGATGGGGTGTTACCCTTACTAAACGATTTTATTCAAAAGTTGGTATTTGCAATGAATTAGAATGTATATTTTCTATAAAACATGCGACCAAGCTATCAAATGTCTTTGAAAATCTACACGCAGGAAAATATTGTCCAAAAGGGTCATTAGTGTGGCTCGACAACTCACTTCAATACACGTACGACAGCTGTATAGAGAAGGTTATGACCTGGATTTGACCACATTCTCTGAAAGCAATGTCTCCAGACCATGTGTATAGAGATGGTTATAACCCGAGTTTGACCACATTCTCTGAAAACAATGTCTCTAGACCACCTGAGTAGAGATGGTTATAACCCGAGTTTGACCACATTCTTTGAAAGCAATGTCTCTAGACCAGCTGTGTAGAGATGGTTATATCCCGAGTTTGACCACATTCTTTGAAAGCAATGTCTCTAGACCAGCTGTGTAGAGATGGTTATAACCCGAGTTTGACCACATTCTCTGAAAACAATGTCTCCAGACCAGCTGTGTAGAGATGGTTATAACCCGAGTTTGACCACATTCTCTGAAAGCAGTCTCTAGACCAGCTGTTAGGCCAATTATTCTAATATGTACGTTACAAATTGTTAGGCCAATTATTCTAATATTTACGTTACAAATTGTTAGGGCAACTATTCTGATATTTACCTTACACATTGTTAAAACAACTATTCTGATATTTACGTTACACATTGTTAGAGCAACTATTCTAATATTTACCTTACACATTGTTAGAGCAACTATTCTAATATTTACCTTGCACATTGTTAGAGCAACAATTCTAATATTTACCTTACACATTGTTAGGGCAACTATTCTAATATTTACCTTACACATTGTTAGAGCAACTATTCTAATATTTACCTTACACATTGTTAGGGCAACTATTCTGATATTTACCTTAGCATTGTTAGGGCAACTATTCTAATATTTTCTTTACACATTGTTAGGGCAACTATTCTAAAATTTACGTTACAAATTGTTAGGCCAATTATTCTAATATTTACGTTACAAATTGTTAGGGCAGCTATTCTAATATTTACCTTATATATAATATATATATATACCTAATATTAATTGTAATGCTAATATAATATATATATACCTAATATTTACTATTCCAATATATTTATCTTACACATTGTTAGGATACCTATTATAATATTTACCTTATACATTGTTAGGGTAACTATATTTACGTTACACATTGTAAGGCCAATTATTCTAAAATTTACCTTACACATTGTTAGGGTAACTATTCTAAAGCTTACCTTACACATTGTTAGTGAACTACTCTAATATTTCTCCTACATAATATCAGGGATTTGAAGCCTCATACCTGTCAGAGTTAGAGAAACACTGGGATGAGAGAATGAAAAGTTTCAAGGGACGAGGGCCCCCAAAACTCCTAAAATGGGACCCAACAACTCCAAGAAACAAAGAAAAAACTTCTGCTCGTCGACACGAAGAAGAGGAGGAGGAAGAAGATATCCCAATGCCTACCATACCTGAGCCAGCGCAAGAAGAACCTGCTGTTGAAGAAGAAGAGGAGGAGGAAGAAGAAGAAGAAGAAGAGGATGAAGAAGAAGAAGAGGAGGAGGAAGAAGAAGAGGAAGAAGAATAATCGAGGGCAAAAAAAAGGTAATTTTTGATTTAGACAATTAAAAATGAGATTAAAACAGACTCATTATTAAGCATTAAAAAGTATTGTTCTTAACTTTGTTAACAAAAACTAGAGTTTATTACTAGACGCTTCTGTTAATGTAAAAATGACGACCTTTATCTCCATAATGTATTAGCTCAATATTTCGCTTTTACTGCTTTATCGGAATGTATCGACAACCAGCAGAAATTACTGGAACGCTTTCACTAGTTAATCGAACATTGATGCACGTGCCTGAACATTTTAAAAATAATCTCGAACATTCTTGAATTAAAATTGTTGAAACAAACCGAACTAACAATGTTAGATAAACAATGTATGTCGATCAGTAGGTGAACTAATTAAACCATAGGGTTTAGAAGAGGATAGGGGAAAAAAATTACGATTGTTTTAAAGAAGTATGCTTACACACAATTATATATGTATAAACATAAAAAGGGAGTTTGATAGGCAATAACAAAACAGATATGATCACTTGAACCATGGAAACAAGAAACGTACATTTCAACTCTGATTACTTGGGAGATACCATATATGATTTATCATATCCACACAGAACTGAAGGTAATAATTAGAACAACAGACTTATATATTAAAATAGTAGAAAAACTTACCATTTTTTTTAAATTTAACTTTTACCTGATGATGACCTGATACTGTGGGTCGAAACGTTGTAATCACTAAAATTAGAACTTGCCTAATGTAAAAGTTGGTGTGTTGTATTTTTGAATTAATCATTCAGTTCCTCATTAAACAATAATATCAAATAATAAATTGTTGAAATAAACTGAAACAAAAGTGGTGAATAAATAATACCCAGGGACATTTTTCGCCAACTTACCTCACAGAAAGATGCGCATGCGCGCACGTACTTGGATAAGATAACTAATACCCAGGTGCACACCCTCAAGGTCCACTTAATATGGGTGAAAATTTGATAAGATTAAGTAAAACCTCAGGGTCCAGTAAACTATTAAAATCATAGGATTTGGAAAGGATACGTTACATATATGATGTACATCTGTAGGTATTTTCACAGATATCTGTATTACTCTGTCCTATTAAACAATACATAATCATTACAATGTCTCTCTCTCTCTATATATATATATATATATTAACCATCGTGAAAGACATTCAACACAAGAGGTTAGCCTTTATATTTTAGGTTTACTTCTCTTGATTAAAATTAAATCTTTACTCTTTTGGTCAAGAAAACTATGACATATAGATAAGATCTTGACATTCAATGTTCTTTACTATTATGATCAACAACATCATGTTAGTAATGAGGTTTTGGATGTCACGTGCGTGTTTAAATAATCTATCATGTACAGGTTGGCAAGTTTCTTCTATGTACGTACTAGATTTGACTAATACCTGACGAAACGTTGTAGTCATTAAACTGAGATCTTGCCTGCTGTAAAAGTTGCTGTTATTGTAATTTTTGAATATTTCATATCATGTTCGATATGATTTAAATCTTTCAGACACGTATCAATGTTCGATGAAATGATTACATTGTGCCAAAACTTGTAGTATATCGATAGCTGTGATAGCGAAATATTGAGCTAATAAAGATACATTATGGACATATAGGCCATTATTATATTTACATTGATAGAAATGTAACATTAGTTACATAGTGGCGCCAACTTGGGAGGGGGAGGGGAGCTGTATGCTCAGACGCTTCACCCAAGCCTTAACGTCTGGTTAATGAGCCATGTTTATATAAAAATATTAATATATAAAAAGTGGAAATTTTTACGACTATATTTTATTCTTCATAACCCCTCTAACTCCAACTCAGTTATTACAGTAAATGTATGAACTCTGAAACGTGCTACGTTAATACCAGCTAATGTATTTTTGTAGAAATTAAGGTTTAACTTTGCCCCTTGTAGTACCTAATATTTATGTAGTTGTTTGTTTTATTTTATGATAACAGCTTTCTTGAATCTTCACAGTTTCCTGTAGTTCAAGTTGAAGAAGACCACAACTAGTCACTAGAAGCTTCCTTGTCCTGACCTGAATAAAAATGCTCTAGATAAGAAGATCGCTTAACAAGAAACGGCTTCCACATTTTATACTAACGCATTTTCGTTACGATTGGAATTGGTTTATATTTTCCTAATGACCTGCTTATTGATTGAAATTAATTACTAGAAGATTCGTGTCTGAACACATCAACTGTTTTTTTTTCTTAATTTTCTTGTATAAAAAGAAAGAAAAAAAAACTTATCGAGCAATCTGTCGTTCATGACAACAATTTTCTGGACAGTTTAATTAAACACACTAGCAATCAGACAGACTTTTACCATAAATCTGACAAGAAATTGTGTGGTTGTAGGTCAGGAAAATCGGAAAGTATTAGTTTGTAAAACTTGTTATTCAATTGAAATAAAATCTACCTTTACACACGGCGTTTTTTTCTTGTATTTCATCAAAACTGAACGAAATAATAATGAACTTAGGTTCATGCTTTTGAATGACGAAAACATGATAATTCTGCAGTAAAAGTCGGAAAAGTTTGGATGCTTAATGTCCTTTAATTATGGTATGTTAGCTATCGTAATACTAAGAAAAGTTGGAGAAAATTCGTAATATTAACGTTCAGCTTAATTAAGGTTATGCCAGCTATGATAATACTATATATTGTTACGGATTTATGTTTCTGTGCTGACAAGGACAGTATATTTTGATGGATTTATATTTCTGTGTTAATAAGGACGGTATATTGTTATGAATTTACGTGTGTGTGTTAATAAGGACGGTATATTGTTATGGATTTATGTTTCTGTGTTAATAATGTCTACATTACTGTAAACAGTTCCCTACACGACCACGTGCATGCTCTCCAAACTGGATGTCTACCCACCAGCCACTATTGACTGTACCTTCACCAACCACTATTTACTGTGACACCACCAGCCACTATTTACTGTGACACCACCAGCCGCTATTTACTGTACCTTCACCAGTCACTATTTACTGTGACACCACCAGCCACTATTGACTGTACCTTCACCAACCACTATTTACTGTGACACCACCAGCCACTATGAACTGTACCTTCACCAGTCACTATTTACTGTGACACCACCAGCCACTATTGACTGTACGTTCACCAGCCACTATTTACTGTGACACCACCAGCCACTATTGACTGTACGTTCACCAACCACTATTTACTGTGACACCACCAGCCACTATTGACTGTACCTTCACCAACCACTATTTACTGTGACACCACCAGCCACTATTTACTGTACCTTCACCAGCCACTATTTACTGTACCTCCACCAGCCACTATTTACTCTTATCTCTACCAGCTACTGTTTATTATAACTTCATCAGCTACTATTTTTGTAATTCCACGAACTAATATTTACTGTGACTATTTAATATTTAGATTAATTTACAAACTAAAATAGTCAGAGATTACACCTATTACTTAGTATTCAAACTAAAGTATTTAAAGTTTACACCAGTACCTCAATTTACAAACTAAAGTATTTAGATATGATACAACTGTCTTAATGAAGAAACTACGATTATTCTGAATGTTTAATATAGAAACAACGAAATCTTTATATTTAATCTAGAAATTCTTGTTTGTTAGAAACTGGTGTGTGTAAGTTTGAATAAGTGTGTTATCTAACATCCATATTGAACATTACAGGAGGAGAAGAAACAAAGAGAAGCCGAAGCAAAGAGAAAACGATTGGAAGAGGCAGAGAAGAAACGACAAGCCATGGCAGACGCCATGCAAAAGCAAAAGTTGCAAGAACCTGTAAAAAGAAATTTTATTATACAGAAGAAAGAGGGCGCTTCCGTTACTCATGCAGGCCTAGGATTTGATAAGGTAAGTTGATGTTCTACCAGGAGTTGACTAGACGAATAAAATTGGTTTTGTAACAGTGACCAAGCATCAGAAGTTTGTTTTAAGTTTTATTTCGAAAACAAGCGTATTGTTATTAGTTAAATAACTATGTGTGGTTCTGTTTGTGATTCTCATACTAATGTTAACAGTGTGTGTTTGTGTTTCTGTATGTACTCGCTCGTATATATATGTCTGTATGTACTCACTTTTATAAAGATGACACACGCTCTAATCTTGACGCTTTTTTCTTTGGTAGATGAGCAGCGCTCTCTTTGCAGAAACCGAAAGAGGAAAGACGAAAGAGCAGCTGGCAGCAGATAAGGAAGTCTGTTTGCAAATGCGCGTCAAACCTCTAGAGCTGGAAGGATTATCCGTCGACGAACTCCGCCAGAGGGCCAATGAGCTCTGGAACAAGATCTCCACATTAGAAAGTGACAAATACGACTTGGAAGAGCGTCAGAAGCGCCAAGAGTATGATGTGTGTAGCATTTCTATTTGGGTTTTGTTTGTCATAGCTGTCTACCTTCTGTTTTTTATACAGTGGGATTAATTTCTGGTTATTTTATTAACTAAAACTTTAGATTGTTTTGGAGGTGCCATCATGGGATATTTAGACAAATAGTAATACTCTAACAAATAAGTGACAGGTTAGTTAAGGGTTTTCCCAGTGGGTTAACAATACTCTAACATCTAAGTGATAAGTCATTTAAGGCTCTCCCAGTGGGTTAATAATACTCTAATCAATAGGTTAGTTAAGGATCACCGTGGGTTATTAATGCTCTAACAGATATGTGATAAGTCATTTAAGGGTCTGCCGGTGAGTTAATAATAACCTAACAGATATGTGATAAGTCATTTAAGGGTCTCCCGGTGGGTTAATAATAACCTAACAGATATGTGATAAGTCATTTAAGGGTCTCCCGGTAGGTTAATAATAACCTAACAGATAAGTGATAGATTAGTTAAGGAATCTCTCGGTGGGTTAATAATAACCTAACAGATATGTGATAAGTCATTTAAGGAATCTCTCGGTGGGTTAATAATACTCTAACAGATAAGTGATAGGTTTTTTATGGGTCCCTTGGCGGGTTAATAATACTCTAACAGATAAGTGATATGTTAGTTAGAGTCTCCTGGTGGGTTAATAGTACTCTAACAGATAAGTGGTAAGTTAGTTAAGTTTCTCGGTGGATCAGGTTTAAGCTTGATGATTTAAAATGGCAAAATATGGGGTTCTATTCTATGAAGCTTTAGTTTATAAAACAACAACAAATATACAATAATGAAGTATCCTTTGTTTCCATCAGTAAAATGATGTAAATTCGTGTAAGATAACTTATCTTATGTAACTTCTTTAACTTAAAAAACCTATAACTATAGTGAGTTATGAGTTGTTAGGGCATTACTTGCATGATGGAAGTTCTTATGTCGCCATGACACTTCACAACTGCCAAAAAGCGCGTTGATAGAAGATGTCACGTGATACCATAGTTCGACCGTTACTCAGCAGAGAGCGTGTTGCTAGGAGTCATAATTCCAAGAAATGATACCAGAGGATGCATTGCTTGGGGTGGATGCAAGTAATCTCCTAACTACTCCACTTGGAACTATGACTCTTAGCAACACACCCTTTGTTGAGAAGCACGCAAATTATCATTCACGTGACATCTTCTAACAATGCACTCAGTGGCTGCAGACTGGTCAAGTGTCATGGAGGTATAACTTCCGGCTCTCTGGTGCCATTTCGTGGAACTATGACTCTTAGCAACACGCTCTCTGCTGATTAACACTCGAACTATGCACTCTGGCTGCATACAATTTCGGTCATCGAGTGTCATGGCAGTATGATAACTTTCACCATGAAAGTAATATCCTAACAACTGATATCCTTTGTTTCCAACAATGGAGTGATGTAAACTCTTGTAAGGTAAGTTGCACATGATACAGAATTGAACTCATCATTAGAATGAAACAAGAGCATGTGCTAATATTTGTTCTATCCCAGAATGCAACATTACCATGTTTCCTTTTATTTGTTTAGCTAAAAGAACTGAATGAGCGACAGAGGCAAATCAACCGAAACAAGGCATTGAAGAAAGGATTAGACCCTGAGTAAGCAAAGTTTTCTATATAAGTAGCTGGAAAGTATTTTAGTTTTTTGAACATATATTCTCTGATTGTATAGCAATAAAAAGCACAGAAAGGAATGTTACTTATTAGAAATAGGCTTTCTCATGCTTTTTATTAAGCCTAAAAGGGTCAGTCAATAGGACAAAAGGACTTAATTCTAACATTTGACAAGTTTTATTCTTCTTTTAAAACGATTGTTCAACTTCTTGTTTCGAGTATATTGATCAATCAAACCTGGAAGTCGAAAAACAGAAATGGTTTTACCTCATATTCGAGTCCTTGAAATCAAAAACAATAAATCTTGAGATTGTTTTAAAACAATTTTGGAATAAGGTATCTCAAATAAGTTCTATTTGTTTTTGATATCGATAAATTTAAACCTCACCACTTTTCTGTAATATCTTTAGAATCAAACGGTATTTGTTTTATTGGCTTATACTTTGTTTTAACATTACTCTTTTGTTTCTTTTTCAGGGCTCTGTCCGGAAAGTACCCGGTAAGAATAACATAATCTTGGTTTGCACGTGGTCGTATAGGGAACTGTTTACAGTAACTGTCACAGTAAACAGTGGCTGGTGAAGGTACAGTAAATAGTGGCTGGTGGTGTCACAGTAAACAGTGGCTGGTGAAGGCACAGTTCATAGTGGCTGGTGGTGTCACAGTAAATAGTGGCTGGTGGTGTCACAGTAAACAGTGGCTGGTGAAGGCACAGTTCATAGTGGCTGGTGGTGTCACAGTAAACAGTGACTGGTGAAGGTACAGTAAATATTGGCTGGTGGTGTCATAGTAAAC